TATGCCAAAGAAGTATGTAAAAGATTGGGCACATCAAATGAAGCTGTGTTCCACTTGTAACAAGCCACGTAAGTATATAATCCAGTAGGCCTGTGTAATTATGCAGTTATTAACTGACAATTTACAGTTTGCATTTGCTCCAGGTGAAAGGAGCTTCTAGGCTCTAAACACTGTCCCCTCTTTTGGTTTTATATGTTTCTACAGAATAAAAACACTTTCTTGGCCATTGTGCCTTCTTTAGATGCATAGTCTAAGGGCAGAGATTCATTGTTGGCTATGGTATCTGGGCTTATGAAACTTGATGTACGGGGCAAGGCATATCTAAATGCATAATGCGAGAGAAATTAAATGTTTAACTTAGACACACAAATTGGAAGAATGGAATTATGGTCTAAGGACATTTCTATATGATAGACATATTGATATTTCCTAGAAACATTTTGAAGAGGTTTCTCAAAATCTTGTTGGAAACTTATTTGGAGATAATTCACCTATCCTCGTCTTGTCTTATTGAAAAATGAGAATTATAACCATATTGGCCTTCCCAGGCCTGGCCCTGAGAAACGTCTGTTTCTTCTCCCAAGTCTTCCCAAAGGTCTGCTCATTGTAGAAGCAGAAAATATCTTTTCAAAGTTGTTATGGTAAGAAGCCCACAATTAGGCATACAGTAACTATTTTGAAGTAATTTTTACCCAATATTTTTCCCTAGGTAATTTTAATAATTAAAATGAACTTAAATGGACAAAAAGTTGAATGATCTGTGTAAATTGTTTTATAAATATAACATTTTGAGAATATTTGCATTTTTTCAGGAATAAAATTAAAATTAGAAATTGAATGAGGTAGTCCACATTGCCTACATATTTTCTATTCCACAAATAATTACATACAATATAAGCTATGTTTTTCCTTTTTATGTTTAATAGGAATTCTTTGAACATTGAGAATATATTACTTTTAGTGATACACAGTTCACTTTTTTTACATTGCATTTATGATATTTTTATCAGCTTGCTAAAAGTAAAATGTACTCAATGATAGAGAAAATTAGGACAAGAAAAGGTTCAATCATAAGGTCAAGTGCTTATTCCTTTTCAGCTGCATCATTCTGACTTATTAATTCCAATAAGAACGAAAACATTGCTATCCATCCATTTTACTGAGAAGTTCCCTTGAGCTTCAGATGGAGACTGAGTAAAGCTCTTCTAATTGTGTCTTGAAGTACTCTCTCATTTGGGGTCTCTTAGCCTTTAGTGTTGGTGTCAGCAAGTCATTTTCAACTGAGAACATATCACAGTGAATGTGAATGGCTTTAACCTAAAAACCAAAAACAAAATGTTTTATTAACAGAAATAGAGCATAATATTTATAGCATGCATGATAAAAGTTAACAGGCATGTGGGGATATATACATACTTAAAAGTTGATGATTATGTTACTAACTGCACATTAGCCCACTTGACATGTCTGAGACACATGGTGCTGCAAATTATCGACAGTTGTGCGATTAGGACATGTGTGATAGAGACAGAGAGAGGGAGTGTTTCCCACATTGAGTAGAAGACTTATGGCTGCAAAACTTGAGGGAGACTGAAGCAAGATCGTGGTGATGGTGGAGAAATGTGGCATTGCTGTGGCAAAACTGTGGCAAGGTAAAACCAGGAGGGCTCTTGAGATAAAGGCCACAATAAAAGGTTTATGCTGTTCTTCCTGGATACTTGAAGCCGAACTAATTGTTCTGAGGCAAACCTTACTGGAGATTGAGGAAACCAGAGGCTTCTTGAATTTGTGTTGCTGAACCAAAACTGGAGTGAGGACCAATTGAGGAATTGTGCCTTGAGATTGATGAGCTAAACCTAGACTTGTACTGTGAGCTATTCTTTGCCTCCCTCCTTCTCAACTTATTTCCCTAATAAGCCTCATTCTCAGTACCACAACTGTGAGTCAAGTTTGTGAGTCAGCAATGAATAAAAGAACCTCCTGCTGTGGATGTGGTTCTAGAGGCACCATGGGGCTGAACTAAGGGCTCTTTTTCTGCTTTCTGCTCTGGGGCAGTGAGGGGCTGTGCTATTCTCACTCCCTCTGGCCCTTTCAGAAAGATGCTCATGACTCTGTGCTGCCATGTTCCCTTTTCTCTTCTTTAGGCAGAGTCCTAGTTGACTCAAGGGCACCCAACAACAAAAACAGAACATTTGATTCAGCTGCGGGGTAAATCAGTCTATGCCAATCATGACAAGTCATTCCTGTGCTTTCCCAACTCCCCTTGCAGCTAAGATGGCCATGAAACCCATTTAAGGGAAAGTTTTTGACATGTCTATGTCCACCCTCATCCCCTTATTCTTGTCCTGGGTGTGCATAAAACTCGAAGCTGTAGCAGCCACTTTGTGACCATGAAGTAATGAGAACATGCTAAGAACGGAGAGTGGAAAAATAAGCAGAGTCTGAATCGTTGATGATTTGAACCTGCCTTGGAATGATTAATTGGGAATTTTTCTTAAGGAGAAAAAAAAGTCCTTAATCATTTAAATACATTATAAACTAGATTTTCAATTGGAAAATTTTAAATTGAGAAATATGATCTCACAAACTTAATTTATGCCAATTCACTTAATATCTTCATTGTTGTACAGAAACATGTATACAGTCTGTGTTAGCAGTGTAGCTTAAAGTTAACTTAGTATTGTTCATGTAAAATAATATAAATGTAAACTACTTAAATCATGAAGTTTCCTCAAGTACCTCCTCAACCTCCTCAATAACTATCGATATAATTCTTTTAAATGCTTCTAGTCTGGTCATTAAAATCTGATAACAATGTCCATGAATAATGGTTTGAATTAGGGGGTGGGGGTGGAAGTAAAAAACTTTAGGCATGTTGCTAGAAGAGGCTATTCCGTAGAGAGGGACATCATGCTTGTAAAGGGGGAAGGTGGGCAAAAGAGAGAAAGACTCTCAACCAGATGGAATCACACAGTGACTACAGTGGGCTCTAGTGTGTCAGAAAATGTATGGATGGCATAGGATAGGACAGGGTTCAGATTTGTTGTTCGTAGAGTTGCTATGAGTTGTACTTGATTCAACAGTATCTAACAACAACAACTCAAAGTTTAACTCAGACCAACCAGGCCAGTGTAAACTTTGTTGGGATAACTTTGGCTCTGGGCTTAGATATGAGTGTGCGTGTGTGTGTGTGTGTGTGTGGGGGGGGGTGTTTAAAGTGAAGCCTCAACTGACCATTCCTTAGAAATAGGGAAAAAAAAGCTGGCACTGAATTACGGATTAACCTAAATAATTTACAGGCTTTTGAATGCAACAGTGAGCCCACTCTACCAACAGTGCGGCCCAGTTTTTGCCCTCTAGCCCCACACTGGTTGTGGAAGGGAGGATGCCATAGATCAACAAAAAGAATGAGAACAGACAAAATCAGGAGGAGGCAGCCTGGGAAATAAGACTAAAGGCATCTGGGATGCCACAAGACTTTCCAGTATTTGAGGTTACCATGGAGAGGGCAGATTATTAGAGCAGAAACTCTGTCAAGAACACTTTTAGTGAAAACTCTAACCAAAACAAAGGTTATCATGAAAGGTCCTTTTTAAAGCATAATGCTAGGCATTGGGTTTTGTCATTGTTGCTGTTTCTTTCCTTTCTTACGATTTGAGGAATATAGTCATTCTCTGCATGTAGGTCACTGATCCCAGAGCCAGCAGGGGGCATGCAGGGCTTGTTAATGCCCAAGGATATCAGCAGGGACTAAGCCGCTTAAACAGCCATGTTTCCCAGTCCCTTCTTCACAGCTAGCCCTTCCAAGCAACGTGTAGGTCCAGCCGAGTCCGATCTGAGACCACTGGCATGTGGTTCCTGCTCCTCAAAACTACATGATCTAGTCACAGAGCTCTCAGTTAAGGTAGGGCAATGTAGTTAGTGGTGGCAAATATAAAAATCTAAATAAAATACTCATTTATTTTGTTGCCTGTTTGTAGGACACATGCTGGGCTCACAGCTCACTGGCTTGACCAGCCTAACCTTGCCAATGTCCTCACAACAAGGCAAGAAAGCTCACCAGCTGCAGCGAAGAAGGCAGCTGATGTCTTTCAAATCCCCATAAAATAAAAATAATAACAGGACTCGTACTACGGTCAGCTTGGGAAACTGTACACACGATCTACCCAGCGACAGCTGGGCTAATATTTCAGCCATATGAGTCTCAGAATGAGCACAGTCCCATTCTACACATGACCTATTTCACTTCAGAGGCCAGGATGCCACAGAAAGTCAGCCTGACACAGTCCTTCAAGGGTCCTTTGGAATTCAGTTTGCCAGCAGGCCACAGCATGGGGGTGGGGAATCTGTCAGGGTCTTCTGATTGCTATATTGAATATGAAGATAACACTTACCTGTTCAAAAGAACAGAGTCCACCTTCTTTTCCCAACCTGACCAAATCGTCCAAAATGGCTTGCTTCACATCCTGAAGAAAACCATAAAAAATGTACTTAATGGAAGTAAAGGAAGTAACAACAAACTCTGAACAAAATGCAACTGGCAGTTGTGCTGACTCCCTTGATTATCCTCTCCCTCCTCTCCCACACACTCCCTGGCAGCACCACACATTACCACCTCACATTGGGCAAGTTAATTCTGGGAATGGTCAATTATGACCATTAATGGAGCCCTTAATTTTTCCTTTTAAAGAAGACCTCTCTCTGGTCAACCTGATGAATCACAGGGGCCCGAGCATCGCCGAGGAAGCCTACGGCCCAATTGGAGAAGAAAGGTTGCTCTTGAAACATGAAAGGTGTGACTGACTCAAGTGACTTAACACAGCTTCAGAACACAGTGATGTTATTCCTGGTAGCACCTAAAAATACACTGCTGTCGAGTCAAACCTGACTTTTTTAAGCACCTACAAATACACTGCTGTCGAGTCAAACAACTGTCCATTGAGTTTCCAAGACCAACCTTTCTTCCAAAAAGTAGCTGGTGTACTCAAACTTTTTACCTTAACTTACCCCGTGCCATGCACTAAGCCATCAGAGCTCCTTCCTAGGTGGCACAGAGCTTGTAGGTATACCAGAAGGACGTTTCTGAAAGTTGTGAGTGGCTAATGCTGTACGCAGGAAAGCTGTACTACATTTTGAATTCCACAATTGTCCCGTCTAAGGTCAGTAAGGTACAAAATCTAACATCTGGAAAGAATGTGGCCAGCACATCACAGAGGCTGTGCCCACATCCAACATTGCTATTAATTAGCTCTGTGGCCTTGGCAAGTCCCGCCCTGTTGGGACTTTATTCCAAACTGCAAAACAGGGCCGGACAAACTTTCTATGACATATTTTGGCTCTAATCAATGGTTTATCAAGCTTCCCACAGGGAAACAAGTTTCTTTGGTCAGAGAAGATGAACTTGGGATAGCTACCGCTCTTTGTAAGAAATTAGACATTTACCTACTTATTACATTTCTTTGAGGAATGTAGTCATTAATGACTACATACATTACTGCTTTTCTATCCTATTTTTATGCCATATCCCAAAAAGTTCAGCAACCTTTTAGGAGACAGTCCAGAAGTACCTACCTTATTTGCACAGAGCTCATCATAAGTCCCTTCAAATCCTTTCTTCTGAGCCCAGGAGGGCATGACTTCAGGGTCGGGCACAACAATGGCCACCAAAAAGTCCTGCAATTCCCACCAAAGGAAAGGTCAGGACATAAGCTTTTAAAGTGACTATTTGTGGTCTAGGATTGAAAATAATCTCTTGGTATTCTCAAGATGCCACCCTTTTCTAAAAATAGTGCCTGTTTGTAGTATTACACATTCCTGGGTATTTTCTAATACACTCCTAAAACTCTCTAAAAAGGAATCAAATAAGATTAAGGCATTAAGAATTAGTTAGACCTATGAATCTCATGCCAAACTTTCATCATGACATCTTTTGGATGTTGGTCAAACAATTCTGCTCTAAGCTCTATATAAGTCAGAAACATAAA